TATTTTTTGCAGTACTATTGATGCCAGGAAAAACGTGTTTTAAAAACTGCCATGTTTTATCTCTAAATAATGAAATATTTCTTCAACTATAAGTGAAAATTAAAAATTATCTAGTATTCCAAACAATTTTGTATAATATTTTATTTATGAGGACAATCATTACTTATTTTATTATAATTCTATAGTATTCTTTAAAAAATAGACTTTCAAAATTCAAACCTGATCTTACATGTAGGCATGGAACTAATTTAAAACTTCTCTTGTACATTGTACATTATACTAGTATTTACGAAAGTATGTGTACTTATTGTTTTGAAATATAGATTATTTGTCCATTTCAAACATTATTTGAAAACAATGCCATTTACTACTTTCAACACTCAAATTAATATGTCTGCTAAGACTAAAAAAATTTTAAATTGAAAATAAGTATGTTAATTTCTCATGTTTCTATCAATATGCTTATACATCATCATGTACATGAATTTGTCATTTTGATTTCTTTTAAAATTCTCAAAATAAATAATAATTATTAACAATTCTAACATTAGGTACGTTTACAATAATTTTTCACAGTGGGGGATCCAGGAATTTCATAACGAAAGGGGGCAGTAGAAGGCAGGGGGTTTAGGGGGCTGCATTGAAGCCCCAAGTGGGTCCAGGGCAAAGCCCCCGGAAGCTGACGAATTCTTTCAAATATATAAGAAGTGTTTTTTTCCTTGATCTTAGTATAATGGACACAGAGAGAAAATTCAATCGGGGAGAGGAGGGGGGTGCGCGGCGCATGAGCCGCTTTTGTTTCAAAACAAGCATAATTGTTATCAAGTATTCAATCAGATTTTAATGGTCATTTCAAAATCTTTGTTAATTTTAACATTTTTTTGTGTGCCACTTTATTTTTATTCTTTTTTTAGGTTCTTAACATCCTTAATTTTTCAGCTGAATCCTTGCATATTTTTCATATTGTTTTTCATAGCTCGATTATGATGCCGATAATTTTCTCAGAAGCATTTTTTATTTACTTTTGTCAGTGTCCCATAAATGATTTCTTTAAGAAATGAAGTATTGTGAACGTGTAAGATTGTTTTTAGACCTCAAATATTCGATCGTATGTAGTATTCAGACAATAAACAAAACCTACGCCAGGCTTAGAGTTCACATTAATTCACACTAATTTATACTACTATAGATACCTAAAATATCTACTCTGTAGCTAGGCCTGCCTCACTTTAGGTGTTGATAGTTGATACGTGCTCCGCAGAGTTGGTTGATTGTTGAGTTCGATGGAGAGGAAGTTGGAAAAATTAATAGATGGTTTGATAGTTAATTAATTGTTTTTATATTTTATTAACATATAAAAATTAATGTTCACCTTAGATTTTTCAGTGTCCCATAAATGATTTCTTTAAGAAATGAAGTATTGTGAACGTGTATGATTGTTATAGTAAAAAAAACCGTCGCAGGATTTACACAATGTTATTTTAAAAGTCACCGCTAGTTAGTCAAACCATCATTCCGTCCTCCATTATAGGAATAATCTGTTTACAAAGAAAATAAAAATGTTTCTTCAGTTGTACGTTTCATTTACAAGTATATATATTTTAGTCCTTAAGGTTTTCTCTGACAAGAGAGATAACTCTTTCTAGGACAAATGACTACATGTATTATTGCCAAATTAAAAGGTCATTTCTGACAAATTTTAACCTGCAAAGTATTCTGAAACTGTGTCCCTTATAAGTATAAATTAGATTTCTTTTGGAAAACCATTAGCGTAAAAGCTTTTTTTGTATGAATGAATAGAAGGTGAACTTCAAATTTCATTTGACGTAGACAACGAATCTTATATCCCCCCGAACCCCCCCCCCCCCACCGTTAAAGGAATGCTCTACTTGAGTAGAAAGCATAGAATTCAAAATTGGGATGTTATTAGGTAAAACTGTGTGTTTGAAGACCTCATATTTGAGAAGAACGAACGCTTCCAGCTTTTGAGCCTCAATGATTTATGGATACGTATCCTGTTTTGTCTATACATAAATTCCACAGGAGTTTCCACAGATAACAATCTTTTCTCAAGTGGTTGCACAGCACAACTACAGTTGTATTATAATAACTGGAGACTACTTTTTTAATTTATCCGAGTCATAACTAAATCATAAGAGTTTAGATGTTTAAGAACATGAGCTGGACAGACTGATCTGTCATAGCTGAATTCTAGCTTTGCGCTGATTTTGTCTGGGTTTTAATAAAAGGGTTTGAAGCTTTCCCGAGCAATGGGGGTGTTTGACCTAAGTCTTCTGAACATTGGTGCTTTTTATGGGAATATCCCTATGTTCAGTGAAGTAGCCCTGTATTTCAAAAGGTTTCTTGTCTGTCAGTCTTAGACTTAACAAAAATGGTCATATGGTTGGTTTGTGCAGTCCTTTCACCGAGGACATTAGATCTGAGGTATTTTGGTCTTGAAGTGAAATGCTGAAAGTTCCACTCTATACAAAATCTAGCAAAGTAATATAGCTTGAATATTGTTCACTATTGTCTGAATAAATATTTAAAAATGCAATGTCTTGCGAGGATTTATTTGCATTTGGAGATGATGGTGGATCTATGAGTATTTGTTAGTATAAACACTTCACAAATATCGACTGTAATACATGTAGTCAAACAAACAGAACATTGTTGTACTGGTCAAAAATTATGTCATGAGTCCGTTTCAGAGCTTTTTGTTTTGTTTTTCTACTCCCAATTGTCCCACATGCAATAATATGTTCAGGAGCTCGGGTGACTCCATTCTCTATAGACAGTTCGTAGTGCAAGTTCCAATATTCCCTACTCAATTCCGACAATCCTTCGAATATGTATTTGATTATTGTTTCAAAGAGGGGGAAGGAAATTGGTTAACCTGCTTCTGTAGTCGACGATCACTCATGTACTAAATGTACTTTGGCCTCTAATCAGTCGAGTAGCTTAATATATGTAGTCGGGCGTTCGTCTCGTCATTGGGAGGTCCCGGTTCGATTCCCGTTCCCTTCTCTGCGTCGAACCTAAGACGTTTAATATAGGTAGTGACCGTTCCTTCGCCAAGTGCCCGGCACAAGAAATGAAAGTCACGGGTCTTTCGGATGAAACCTTAAAAAGCCAGAATCCCGTGTTAGGTAGGCGTTGGCACGATAAAGACCATTCACTTGTACCGTCATGTACAGTGTATTGTTAAAATTTTTGACATTTATTCAAAACCAGGTGTCCTCTCTATATGGGTGACGAATTTTCGAATGGGACGTTAAACAACATATAAACATACATGCAATCAATACTTCGACTTCAATCCACTTAAACAGCTCTGACAGAGTATCCGCTACCTGGACTTGCTGTATGAACATTAAACATGTACATTCAAATTATATCTCTGTTACTGCAGAATCGCGAGCTTTAAGTGTACAAGGGCAGTAAATATAAACTTCTTCATTGAAAAAAAAAAAAAAAACAAAAAAACAAAAAAAAAAAAAAAAAAAAAACAACAAAAAAAAAAAAAAACGAAAAACTAATAGGCTTGTGGCTTTAAAGAGAAAGTGATGTATGTGTTTTAGAAACAATAAAGGCTTTAGAAACTAATTCAAAAGATAAAATATTTTCCCGTCTCTGTAAGAATTATTGTTTTGTAATTTTGAACTTTTTGGTACAGTATTTTGGCTTAAAGCGACTGTACGGCTGCAAAATGTGTGCTATTTCATCCAAATTTACCCAATATGTCATTAAGAAATAAGGTATAAAGTTGATGTAAGCAGTTTGAGAAACAGAAATATTCTCTACTCAAACAAAATTAACGTAATTAGAATCTGCCGGAAAATCCAGGGTCGTACGAACTGGAGCAATCTTAGATCTGTTTATTTGTACCACGTGAATTCTAAAACGGCACGTGCCTACACTGTAGAGTTTACAGTTATAATGAATATTAGTTGAAAGCAATTTTCAGAAACACAAATTATCATAACTTTCTGATAAAATAATCTAAAATTATATAAACGTAAAGATTTTAGTCTGCATTCAGGCGAATTTAACAGAATTAAAAGTACAAATGTTTACGTTTTGTGTATTGGGGTCCGAGAAAGGGAAAACCAACTAATCATACGTTATCGCGGCAAATGTCAAACAAAATATTTTTCTGCACAGTTAAAAAAAAATTAGCATTTCAAATGGCAACAATGTTTATAAGTCAAAGATGTATTTTTTATGTTGAGTTTACACAATTTTTTTTCTTTGAAAGCGACGGGAAAATGAGAAATGATAACAAGTATAACAAACCTGTCGAATAGAACCTTCGAGAGCCCTGCGTGAGTGTCGCCGAGTTCCCGTTTCTTCCTTATCCAGCGATTTTATTAATCCCCAAACTAAATTTTAGTCATGAAAGTTGCTTGTTCAAGTTCTATTTTCAGTTTCTTTTTCTTTTTGGTCGACTTTGTCAATGTAGCAGGCCTACCGGGATTCCCTCTCTAACCATGCTGTTTTGTTTATGAAAACTACGCATGCGTGCATAGCATGGAATGTGGAACCCCGAACACGTTGCGATGTATATATTTACGTCCCATAAATAACTATTAATTTTTAATGAAATAATCCAAATTATTTAATTGTAAAAGTTGTAATTTTCTGAAAGTTTATACATTTATGAGTAGTAAAAAAATTCCAAATCTTGTCGGAAAATTTTATCTAGACAGTTTTTTGATGAGATGCGCCGTACTGTCACTTTAAAAATGTAAACAAAATGCATTTCCTCAAAGTAATAGCACATACTGTATGTTTCGTATCCTTCTGTAGTATGGATTGCATTGATAGATATGCATTTTACTTCTAAAAATGAAACAGATATAAAATGTGCTGTTTAAAAACCCTGATAAACAGTCCCGATTAAAAGCTATTATTAATCCAAAAGAAAATATTGAATGATGTTATCATAGTAAAAATAAAACATTTTTTATTATGATAATTGCATGACAAGACGCATGATGTTATCATAGTAAAAATAAAACATTTTTTATTATGATAATTGCATGACAAGACGCATGTATTTGCACCAAAAAAGGATATTGTCAATTTGTACCTTCTCTCTCTCTCTCTCTCTCTCTCTCTCTCTGCAGTACACATTCCTAGGAAAGATAATATCAAACACATATAATATCAGTCTAAATGAAAAATAATTGCATAGATCACAAAATTATCACTAAAACTTGGTATCTTTCCCAGTCGTGTCCGATCTGCTTACAAGTGTATTATCGTATGGCGTTTCTTCTTCGAACACTTCCGATGTAGTCTCGTTTTCATCCGGTTTTTCATGTGGAAAGATTGTTATATAATTCGAAGTTTCAGGTTCGTCAGACACAGCGGCAGCTTTGCCATTTCTAAACATGTTACCAGTTCCAGAATGAAAGTTGATTGGTTCACGCTGTGAGGTTAACGTGTCACTATTATGCAACTGAAAATTATTGTTCACATTCCCCATTTTGTCTGATCCGCCAATGGTGTCTCCAGTAGAGCCTCGATTTGGTAAGGACGGTGGCTTTACAGTAACTGAGTCACTATTATACGTCGGATCGTTCTGAGGAGAGGAAAACAATTTTAAATTAAACAAGACATAAATGAAAAAAAGGTAATTAAAAGCCAGTGTTATATATCTTTTTTAGTTGAACTGAAAAAGAGGTACATGTAATTTTCACTTCTAAGGAACTGTGATTATAGTTGTTGAATCAGAAGCTTAATATATTTTTTTTTTCAATTTAAATATATTATGTGTACATATAAATTTAATAGTTATATGTGTATGTTGTTGCAAAACGTAGTGGCTGCATGATATCCACAAGCACGTATCTATGTTCATTTAAAGGAAAATTTTGGTCTTTTAATTAACTAAAAATAACTTGGATGGTTGTCAGTAATAAAATAAAGATCAATCTTAGTATGTTCAAAATCTGCCATTTGAATTTTCGCTAGTTACAAAACTAGAGACCGCCAACTTCTAGCTTAACACTTCATCAAGAATACAGGGGGCTGTTTTACAAAAGATCTTACAACTATGACCAAAATTTAATCTTGCTTATAACTTTCTAATTCACATGTAATAAAAAATGGTTTTAATCTTTTTAAAAGGAATGTAGAAAGATATATTTACGCTAGCGATTTTGAACAGATTTATTAATTTTGCAAAGTTTACAATCAATTTAAGTTTTTGGTCTTAGTCGTAAGTTCTTTTGTAAAAAAGAATTGAAGTTTAAGCCTTATTCCACGTACTGGCTCCGGAGGGACATGCCCGATGTGTTTTTAATTACAATGTAACATAGTTGCTTATTGAATGTAGAAAAAACACATTTGAGTGTGGAGTACTATCGAACAATCAAAGTATTCTCCAAGTATGAACAGCTAAACTGCTTTCCATAAAAGAAAATATATTTTGATATTAAGACATCTATTACAACTATTTCATAAAATGCTTATAAAAGACAGCTTATTGTAATTTCCAGAAAGGTTTGAATGAGATTCAAAATTATGTCAGTCATTAAGAATCCGACTTTTGTTTAAGTACATGCCTAATAATAGATACACTGTAAGTACATGTCCAGACATGCACATTCTTTTACATGCCCTTACAGAATTTCTGGTACATGCCCATACATTCTAAGTACATGTACCTGGCACATGCCCTTTTTCTAAGTACACGCCCATACATTCTAGCTACAGAATGTATCTGTAGCTGAAATACACTATATATGAATGTATTCAAACATGTATGAATACTTTAAATGCCCATATTTTGTATATGTTTATCGTGCCTTTGAAACTTAGGTGTCTGATTTGCAATGGAAAGTGATATTCAAGCATGCCATCAATACATGTTGTGTATTACCCTTCCTCTTGCTTGTGTTTCCGCTTAGACACTTTTAGACCAATCAAAAAGCTATATGTACGTAATAAACTTGTTTGAAATTGATTTTTTAAACTTTCATAAATCTAATTTAACTAAACGCACTATATCTGTAGTTCCTGTAAAAGTTGCATTTTTTATAAATTAGTTTAATTGATCTAACAATTACAAAAGAACAATTACAAAAGAAAATTAAAAGAAGGGAGATGACCAACTATTTGAATACATATGTTTCAAAACCATTTATGGGAGAAAAAAAGTAAATGATGGGGAAACTGGAAAACCTTTCCAAGAATAAAAAAACAGTTCGTCTTTTTCAAACTCAAAGTACATCACATACCATATTATCATCGATCACGTGGTATGTTTCTTCCTCCTCCTGGGGTGGTTCAAAAGATGGTTCAGGCTGGAAATTATATTCTGGATTCTGAACGGATCGCTTTTTTGTCAATTTTGATCTGAAATTACAAGATTTATACGCTATATGTAGTTTTTGTCAGTCTTCAAGCGACATGTATGTGAAATATTCGTATGATCACAAAAAATGGCAAAGCATCGTTTTTCTACAATAAAAAAAAAAATACATGTAAAATCTTACTTCGTTTTTGCTCGGTGGCGATGAAACAATAAAGCAATTAAAATGGCTACAACTACAACGAACAGTCCGCCAAATAGTCCGCCCAAAATGATCCCGACCTCGTTTCCATCTGACCCGGAAGTCCCAGGCTTCGTCACTGGATTTGATGTCGTTGTGGTTATGATGCTCGTATCATTTTTACATCTTTGCTTAAGAATATCTGTCTGAGTACCTGGTGGGTTACAAAGAATTCTCACTTAGAACATAATAACTAATATAATGCATTGCGCTTAACTGATATGAAAAATACTAAAAATATAAACATCATAGTAGAAAAAATGTATTAAGACAACATTCCTGTGACCCATGCTAAGGGAACAATGTGTTGATGCCAAGATTAGGTATAAAAATCAAATGAGCCACAAGAAATAACGTTAAAAAATACAATGCAATTTATTAAAAAGAATTGTATATTTTTTTATCCTGCAACTACCCCTTGCATTGACCTAATAAAGGTAACCTAATAAAGCAAAGCTTTATTCGGTCAATGCCCTAATAAAGCCTCGAGCATGTATTCCGACGTTCTAAAAGCATTGTGACGTCATACACATTGCAATGTTTACGCCGTGGCGTCTTTATTTCAACTTCAGAGATGTACATCTAAATCGGTTGAAAATAGTTCGTTTTGGAGGTCTGATGAAAAATATTTTGCAGGATAAACAAAATACATGATATCTGTCTTGAAATATAAGCGATATTTGGGCTCGGGTCAAAAACGTGATAGAGGGCTCGGCAAGCCTCGCCCTCTATCACGTTTTCTTACCCTCGCCCAAATATTGCTTATATTTCAAGACAGTAACCATGTATTTTATATTTATATATCTATGACTGAACGACTATGACGTCAAAATCTGAAAATAAAATTCAAACCAAAATCATCGTCCAGAATAAAATGATTACAAAAAAGATGTGTTTGTAAAACCCTGATGTCCCCGTATAGCAGCTTATGGCGAAGGTTAAAGTTTCTCAAATGCAACTCAAACTCCAAGGTTAAGAGATCAAAATTGTTGTCACCCAAAGAAAGTACATGGGTCAATGGATATGCATGTACCTTGTAAATATGAAAGCCAAGCACCAACCATCCAAAAGCTATTGTCAAGGTAAATATTTTCTAAAAGTGGTTCAAACTCCAAGGTCAAAGTCAAAGGGTCAAAATTAATGGTACATATCTAGAGGGGAAGACCTTGTCATAAGAAATACACATGCAAAATATAAAAGCCCCTGCACCAACTTTTCAAAAGTTATGGCCAAGGTTAAAGTTTTGCAAAAGTAGGTCAAACTCCAAGGTCAAAAGGTCAAAATTGTTGGTATCCAAAGGAAGGTCTTGTCACAAGGAATATATCTGTGAAATTTGAAAGCCCTAGAACTAACTGTTCAAAAGCTATGGCCAAGAACAAAGTTTTTTTATTAAGTAGGTCAAATTCAAGATCAAGGTCAAAAGGTCAAAATTATTTATAGCCGTAGAAAAGGCTAATCACAATGTATACACATGCAAAATATAAAAGCCCTAGCACTACATGTAACTGTTCCAAAGTTATGGCCAAAGTTGAAGATTTCAAAAGTAGGCCAAACTCCAAGGTCAAAGTAAAGTCAAAATTGTTGGTATCCAAAGGAAGGACTCGTCATAGGAAATAGTTCTTTGAAATTTGAAAGTCCTAGTACTAACTGTTCAAAAGTTATGGCCAAGGTTAAAGTTGGGTTATTTTTTGCAAAAGTTGGTCAAACTCCAAGGTAAGCGTCAAGAGGTCAAATATGTTGTTCTCCTAAGAAAGGTCTTGTCACAAGGGATATACATGTAAAACTTTAAAGCCATAGCTCCAACCAATCAAAAGTTATAGGTAGCTTCAAGTTTTTTTGCGGACGAACAGACAGACGGACGGATAGGGCAAAAACTATATATCCCCGAATCTGCAATACGTGGGCTTAAAAGATAATATTAAATGAAAAAATAAAAATATTCTCAAATTTATTATATTTTGAACAAAATTCGAGTCTGTTAAAATTCTTTTAAAAAATACGTGTACGTCAAATTTGCAGAATACGATCAAATACCGTTTAGTCCACATCTATCCCAGGGTTCGTTTCTCGGACATTGCGTTCTCAAGACATCTAATTCCTTCACACAGTTCTTGCTGTCATGATTGTACGCAGTTCCGGGCGCGCACTTCCGCTCAACGACGCCATTTCCGTGACCTCTACATTCATAGTACTGGAAGCAGGAGCATGGATCAATGAGTTGCGTCCCTGCAGAGCAGTTCCATAGGACCGGAACACAAGATTCTGTAATTAGAAAGTTTTCTTTTAAAATGAGTGAAACATTTCTGATCAGCAAAATAGTTGCTGTAGGAAAAAAGGACCAGAAAAATGCAAACTCTTCTTTCTCTATAATTATTTCAATATTTTATTGTTTTAAATAAAAAAAATAAAATAAAATAATTTACAAAAAAAAAAAAAAAAAAAAAAAAAAGAATTATAACCGGGAGAAAAAAAAGAAACGTTTTAAAACCGTCGAAAGAAAGCTGGATTTCATTCATCTAATAAAAGTTCGTATTCAAATAAGAAAATTTCATAACTAGTGCAAGATTTGACATATGAAAAATGGGACAGATATTATTGTGAAATGTAATTTTTATCATAATGGATAACACATCCAACCTTTTGGTATATTTCTTTCATGTAAATACATGTCTTAGTTATTTACCCAAAACCAAGTGCATGCATATTAAAAAAAATGAGTAGAGACAAAACATTCAAGCAATAATTATAAGTTAACTTCATATACACAATATGCATACCTGTAATGTACAAGTCCGGATTGGACATCTCTATGTCTACTGTTTTACGGACCCTCCTGTCGAAAAACAAAAATACCGTTAGTGAGACCTAAATGAAGGGCGTGTTCCCCAAAAAACATTTCGTTCAGCCTTATCTGTTTACATTTCAAATTATTAATATCATCAGTAAGCCGAGCAGATCAGCCGACGAAGAAAACTTTTGACGTTGCATTTTTCGTCTCCTTCTCGACTGACCAGCGACAAAGATATGCACAATTATCCTATACACATCCTTACTGTGTTCCCGTGTTAAGACGGGGAGATAGAAAACTAATGTTTTAATGATGTGCAATATTTTCACAGTTGCACTTGTTTACGAAGAAATGCATCTATTTAACAGATTGCAGCATACGTACACGTATTTAACATTTCTTCATGGACATGAAGCCCAACTGACAATACTTGAAATGAAAATACATTAGATATTTCTCACTTTTGATATCCAAAGAACATCATCCCAGTCTTAGAAATCTTAGAAATTTAAAAGATATTCTGATTTTAAAGAATAAAAAAAAGAAATCAAATTTAGAATTATTTTATAAAGTAAAGAATATTACTCTTTGGATAAACTCTGTATTGACATATCCGAACCCCATCCCGACCCTTAAAAAAACCCATCCGACCTCCACTGTGACCTTGGAGATTAAGATGGATTATAAATGACCCCCAATCATCTGGCCATTAAACTGTCTTTCGTCAACAGTGTACCCTCTGCGTGCTTTCCCTGTCAAATTCTCCATATCAAAATGATAAAGAGCACCTCTTCTATTTGTTCATAATCCACTGAATATTACACTGTCTAGTAGAGAAAAGAATGTACCCACTTAGCAATGAATTTATCTGTTTATTCTACAACGTTCCCCATTACGATTCAAGTGTTGTCGCGTAATTGTAATCTCTATTATTTAAATAAATTCTGAAGCTTTACATTCATTTTTCACCGTAAACTAAATCACTTAGGAAACTGGAGCCTGCCTTTTCATCGTATGCATGTACATACTTATTTACCGAAAAATTCATCGGATATATATCGTTAAAAATGTTATTCTTGATCTCTTTTATTTGTCGAGCCATAATAATGCCCTCTGCCGGAAATGACGTCATAGCGTAGGCAAAACATTGCTGATTGGGTTTTTCATCTCTATCGAAAGTTTTCCAACAAGTTGTAAAATTTTTAGCAAACTTTCAACCTTCATTCAGTCTGGTATTTGTAACGCACTTTTGATTGGGTGAAGGGTTCCTGTTTGTCCGTTAGATATTTGTCTTCAAATAACATGCGGCTTTTTACTTTGGAATTTAAATTGCATGATGTGATGTAGAGAAAAAAACAAAGAATGGGAGCTAAAGTACTTTTTTTCTGTTTGAAATTGCATAAAGGACAAAACATCTTGGAAACCCCTTGATCTATGACTGAAATGATTCAGCTCTTTGTTTTAACATCTAAACAATAAAATATGTTCAAACTAAACAAATTCACCCTTGCAAAAATATACTTTTAGTAACCTATAGCCTACTATAGCTAATTATACATGTAGTTCACTTTAGAATCAAAAGACTTTACTATTATATAATAGCAAATCAAAGTTTTAATTTATTTTAGTAAATCAAAGTATATTTACTATGAATTTCAACTAAGTTGCTATATTTCATTTTCGTCAAACCTTAAATTGGATTTTTTTCTATATTTAAAGGAAATATTACTCATATCTTCAAATATATTTTCGAAAATTTACACCAATACAGTAAACTATTGTTAACTTTATTAACTTTTTGTTAGAGCAGTTCTTAAGCAGATTGGTACAATACAGAAAGGCTTACAAAAAAGAGATCAAATTTTTTTCCCAGGCAGGTTTAGGTTTTAAGAATTCTCTCTCTCTCTCTCTCTCTCTCTCTCTCTCTCTCTCTCTCTCTCTCTCCTTTGTAACAAATGAAAAGCAAATATATTTAACAGTATTTTTGAAAGAAGATCATATTAAGCCCTTTCAATTTTTCTCACATGATTCTGTATTTCGAAAAAAAAAAACCTTACTGCCATAAATCTATTACAGTATTTTTTTTCATACTAGTCTTGTCAACTTCCTGTTTTTATTCAAGTTGTTCAAAACCATGTACATGTACATCTATTTTCAAACACGAATTTCAGAGAGGATGACTCGCACATCCTACATGTATTTCAGAACAGCATTTGATCCGAATGAAGGAAGTGGGATATGTTTAGAAATAAGACAATTTATTTATAATTAGGAGGGTATCAATTTTTCAATGCAACTTTTAATTGCATAGTAGAAAAAAAAACATAGAATACTTGGAAACTCGTGAAGCTTCTAGTAAATTGACAACGTCTTCTTTGTTGATGTTGTATAGTTTATTGAGGGTCACATTCATAGTCATGTATATATTTTCACTTCATCGCATATTTCGGCACTATTTGATGAAAACTGCATTTTGTATTCTAAACTCGAATCAAAACGCTGTAACTTTCGTCATGAAAATTATAAAATTGATATGTACAATGAAAACATCGCAGTTTGTTAAAAATAATAGATTCAAAAGTGTATTTAGGAAAATTTGTTAAAAATAAAATTGCCTCAAGGAAGTTTATTCAAACTGAATTTTTTAAACAATTAGTAACACTCACGGTCTTACAAGCGTATGAATAAAAAACATATAATTAATATTTTTATTTTATTTGGACAGATAAAGGTGCAGTTCATGTAAACTGCACTTGGTATCAAACGAACGATCATTTTCAAACAAGCCAAAACTCATATCGTGATGACCTTTCTTTTTTTAAATAAGAAACGTTTTATGTTCATAAATTATTTTATTTTTAGGATACCAGCATTAATTCGATATGACTGTAAACTGAATTTCCAAACTTTGTCTAAAATGGTGCTGCAAAACCTTACAAGTCGCTTTCGTGAGGTACAACGAGACATTAAAAAAGTATGACATTCGGTGTGTGATTGATGCTGTTCAAGATCGTTAGAGCTATTTCCTCCATCACAGACTAACATGTAGTTAACCCCTATGCAAAGAGAATAAAGGAACCGGATCCAAAATAACGACTTTCAGGTTTAATTGGTAGTTGATATGTACATAATTCGGTGTGATTTCTTCGTCTGTTAGATCAAATTTCATGTAAATATAATACTTATTACCATACATTACCGGTTTTTCGCATCTACTTTTTTCTGCCAAAAACAGATATAATTTGCATTTAATAAGACTTTGTAAAATCCTCTCGATATTCAGATAAACCCTAGATTTACAAAGAAAGAATTCAGATTTCTAAATAATGAGAAAATACAACTAAACAAAGAATTATCCTTTCGACGAAAAGATCCTAAGCACTGACAGTTTTGGAACACGAATTTTGCGTTGCTATGGAAGGACATACTTTTTTATCAAAAAAGTCTGCCGTATCATGCAACATCTCATGAATGTTTTCGACACGTGGTATTGTAAATTGGGCAGAAAAGAATCTTTCTGAATAATACCCCTATTTATCTCCCCTTTTGTTGACCCTATACACGCAGTAATGGCGGCTTGTCTAGTAACGAGATGCTAGATGGGATATGCCAAGTACATTGCACTTGTCCATGTTGTGTTAGACCATTATTTAGAACCTACATGTTTTTCTATCTCTTGGAGAAGAAAATTTCTTTAAAACGCAACAATTGTGACCTAAGTTTCAAAGGATATTTCTAATGTTCCTTTTTATATTTTACAATTTTACTCTGACTATAAACGATCAAATACGCCATTTTTCCTGGTTCAAAATTAAATAAAAAATCGTTTGCTCAAACCACTTGTGCATGTACAAAAGATTCGGCGTTTTTCTTCATGGGGATAATACATGATTGCACGATGCTGTACCAGTTACATCTACAGTGTACAGTACGACTTGTTTGTGCGATTTTAAAAATTCTTGCGAAAGAATGATTTCGCCCACGATAAAAGTCCTAGGTTTTAAATCCGGAATAAGAATGAACTTCCTTTTTCTAAAATTCACAAAAAATGTATTGTCAGCACTAAACTTAGTACAACAATTTACATTTAATATGAATGTGCACCTCCTAAGGGAAGAAAAAAAACCCCAACTTTTTAAAACGCAGTGAAATTAATTACAATTTTAAAGGATACCTTTCCATTCAATATCATGAGGAAAAAAGCAGGGATTTTTTTTTTTAATCTACGCTCTAAATGTTCCATCTATCATCAGCTTCATCAATGTTTCCTGGGATACATTTAATATTTCTTTCAATGAAGCATTACATAGATTTGATTCTTAAAGAGAAATATCTAAGTTAATCTAGGTACTTATGAATGGTATGTTAGAAAAACAAGAAACTTGAAATGATATAGACTTCAGGATTTATGTCTAGAGGTTAAATTGATTTTCCTGCAAACAGTACACTCGAGGCTGTGCAAATTATACACGAAACTAGCATAGATACGAGCTTTTTTATGAAATACAGTGTATCACAAATATTTTCATTATGTATCACCATATGCAGATTTCGCTATCAGGTGCTATGAAGAAATTGAACGGAATGTACAAACAAATACGTTAAAATACAATTGCACCGCCCAGAGATGTAAAAGATTTCATACTCTCAAATTTAATGTGTTAAAGTCCTCTGTAAAATTAACCTTTCTGTGATTTGCATGACCATGAAATTCCGAACGAGAGAGAGAGAGAGAGGCACATTATTTATGTTTAGGGTTTTTTAATATACGATATTCAGTTTTTTTAAGGCCCTGGTGCCTGGTTTGTTTCAAAATTCAGGTGTATTTCCTCCCTGCCGATATATTATAAGACACTTTTATTTTCATTAATGCTGAAACACAATGCTCTTTAACAATTTCTACCGAGTGTTTATCAAATGCATGATTGTAATCATCTTGAAGGTGTCATCCGATTAACCCAATCCCTTGGAGGGTTGCACAGTGCATACGGACATAAAAAAACCCCAGACATGTCTCTTGTATAATTATGTATTTCATTCCATAATTTCTCATTATGTAATTATCATAATAAGACATTTACCTTTATTTGACATTCACACTGTGGTTTAAAAAGGTGTGATATGATCGTTTATGATAATGCATCGAAAGTCATCCGTCTTTTACATTAGTATAGAGAAAGTCAAAGGTGCGTCAATCAAGCACATCAGATGAGAAATAAGACGGAATTTGACCTAGAATTCTGAAATACTTCCTCTATTTTAGAATGTGTAATATTCGTCTTAAAGATGCTACATTTAAGATCAAAAGAAAACAAAACTTTCAAAATATATATATTGCCATTTGACTGCTTTAAAATTTTCTGTAGATAACTTTCAGATACGGAGTTTAACATAAATTTAAATAATTATATAATTAAAACAGCACACTAAAATGCCCTTCAACTTTACTACTGCTATAAACTACTACAAAATGTACATGGCCAAGTTTTTAAGAACATCTCTAACTTACGGATTTTTTTTTTTTATTTTAAAATGTTACCTGGCCAATTTAAAGTGGCAGGGGTAAACACATGATCCATTCCTCATCTACTCTTCAAACAAACGGAAACACACAAAAAAAGGTGAAAATCTATCCCCCCATCTCAAGCGGAACCAAAATGGCTTCTGATGGATGTCAACACAGAATATACCCCTACGAGATAACAGGGCATCCGAAACACCTGTGTTGCCATCTACCTGTAACTTACCTGCCGAAGGTAGATAAAAATCCACTTATCCTTTCTATCTCTCCCCCTTCTCTTTCTCCTTTGCCTAATCCTTGGTCGTTTTGTTATCGTCTGCTAAATAGTGATTTCATGTAGACTCACAGTACGAGATGGAAAAAAGAATGACTTCGATAACCCAACGGTTTTTAAGGGAAGAAAAGTGCAGTCACGATCGAACAAAGGCAAGCCTGTCAATAGCGGTGACGTTATTTGCATGATCTAAATATGAAGAAAAAAGTTTAAAATTCACGTTTTGTTGCTATCGCTTGGTTGCGTATGACCTCGAAAACATGACGAATTGACGAATTTTTAACTTCCGATGAATAGTTAGTTGTTATTGTTTTTCACATGATGTCCGTGAGTTCTTCCTTATTCGACACTTCACTACTGCTCGCATGTAAATTTCTTCGTTTTTTGTTTTGTTTGTTTGTTTTTTAAATATTACCCCAACACAAACCATAATATGAATTTCCAAAATAAAAATATAAAATTTTGAAGAGAAATTAACGGTTTGCAAAGTGCATATCATGTAAATGGTTTGTAAAATATTTTGGATGCAGTTCACAGAGAAATATGTTCTTTAAGCTATACAGTGTTACTATCATGTAATGGTCATATTGTAAATCATATATGGTACCAATTTTGATGCACCAGATTCGCATTTCGACAAGTTACATGTATGTTTCTTCAGTGATGCTCATGCCGAAACGTTGGAAATCCGAAATATTTAAATAAGAAAGACTTTGAAGAGCTGAAAAGGGGTGCCCAAAGACTGGAGCCTAATACGTCGAAGGATCAGAGCTATATATGCGGGAGATGATCCTTAATTTTGAAATGATTTCTTAAGTTTTACCACAGCAATTAAATATATATCAGTATTTTCAAGCTAGTACCGAAGTACTTAGCTACTGGGCTGTAGAGACCCTCGGGGACTACCAGTCCACAAGCAGAGGCCTCGACCCAGGGGTCATAATGTAAATCATATACGGTACCAATTTTGATGCATCAAATGCTAATTTCGACAAATTATTCTCTTCAGTTGCCGAAACGTTGGAAATCCGAAATATTTAAATAAGAAAGACTTTGAAGAGTTGAAAAAAGGGTGCCAAAGACTGGAGCCAAATACGTCGAAGGATCAGAGTTATGCATCGGGGAGATAATTTTTAATTGACATAATCCAGTTCTGTAAAACTTCACAGGTAAGTAATAAAAACCTTAATTAACTTAATAAATAATATAATGTTTGCTGAAATATTTGAGCATATGATCAAGAATTTCATGCAAATGATTTATTTTCTGAAACGAGGATCAAAGTGTGAGAGACATGTGCACAAGAGAGGTCTTTAGCAACGTTTATCAAATGAAAAAGCTTAAGGGGGGAGGACTAAAAAGGCAAGCAATTTTAATAATTTTAATAATTTGTTCTACTTAATTTTAAACGTTTGAGCAAATCTCGGCGTTACTATCACTTGAGACGCATGCAAACGCAACATATCTGATGTCATTTCTGACTTTGCTCTAGTTTTAAATAAAAAGCATTATGGATAGTGGTTTCCCTAATAACTGTTTTCTGTTATCGAAATTAAACGCAACACATATTTTCGTGTGAAATGTTATAGCAACATATAAGTCATGATATTATACAGAAAATTTGAGAAAATATTATTGTCACATCTGTGTCCAGGCCCCTTTAAACTTGGTCCCATCGAATATCAAATAACGAGGTTTGACTGTAATTTAATTAAAATAAATGAATGAAAAGGCATTTCATTTTGATGATTAATTCTCTTTTATGATTAAATAAAGAATGAAATTAATGAAAATAAAAGCAAGTTACGTAACATACATTACCTTGTCTCTTTACAAGTAATATATTAACAGTACAACATAGCTTCAAATCAGATGTTAAGCGCAACCAAAGTATGTACAATGTAAATCTATAAGGAACCAAGACTGATTAATTATTAATTCAGTTTGAGGTTGAAATGTAACATCTAATTTCATATGACGGTTACACAAAGTTTTGTCTTTAAAAATGCTTTCCCGATAAGAATAATTTTTCCTTGTAGTTTCTCACTGAACACAATAACCATTTTTTGTCCGTTTGAATAAAATGTCTCTATAAAGCGCCAATTTTCCATACACATAGGCGAGTGGTAATAAGAAGTAGCCGCAGTCTCACAAACTACAATCAATTTCTTTTCACGTATTGCAATTCTACTTTGCCAGAAGTCTTCATTAATTTTAAGTTGTAACAGATGTCTTTCTATGAAGATATCAGATTACTTATTGCTTTTTCTGCTTTGGAGATGTCAATATTTTCACCGCGACAATTTGCTTTAAATGAAAAGCCAACCTGTCTTGATCTGCAAAACATAAAAAAAATATTTTAGAAAGGTAATGCACACTTTTTTAAATTTGGAAATTCATATTCAAAAGATTTCAATAAAAATAGTTTTGCTTAAATACGATAAACAAAACTAATATCGTAAAACATTAAAGTGATAAAGATCATTCCGAATATGTACGGAAGGGAGACAATCCTCTTTAACCTTGAGCTTGCCATTGATGACAATTTTTTTGTTAGTGTAATATGAATGAGGGTAAATTTTATTTTCTGATATTATATGTCATCTCATAAATTTTTTCCCGTATAATCTATTTCGCGATTTTTTTTATTTTCATCCCTTCATCAATCGATCATGTCTTGCAGTCTATGGTTGTTAATTACATTGTACAACTAAACAGAATTTTATCCGTGTTAAATACGAATCGGGAGTAAATATATTTCAGCTTCAATAAGTGCACGTAATTTGTAAATGAATTACTGTAGTGTAAATATAAATTGTAAATTATACAATGTTTTGCATTTTATCGTAAAATGAATGTTGAAAAGTGCATTAATTTTTTAAACGATTTTCCTTTGTAAATTATATTGATTCAAACAGGTTTGGACAATTAGATAAATGCATATTCACAGGTTTTCTTGTTCATTTTACATCTGTTTGTTGGTGTGTGAAGATGCTTTTTTTTTTTTTTTTTTTCTTTTTTTTTTTTTTTTTTTTTTTTTTTTTTTTTGATTTTCTTTAACTTAAAAATCGTCCAGTTCTGTTAAAAGACCCGTTACTTTATAAGATAATTATCAATGTTCATGTAGGTTACATGTAAGTGATGTAAAGACACGACAAGATTGTTTTCTCTATATACATGTAATTAAAAAAACAACTCACATGTGGTTTATTTTATATTTTTCAGGTTCTATTTCTGTTTTCTCTGAGCAGACACAAGAATTAAATGTACTCTGTATACGTGTCACCAAGGCTTCGTAACTTCTGTTTTCCCATTCTATCGGCACAGTCACCTTCAAGGAAGCCATTTCTGCAAACAAATAATGACTGCAACCAAACAAGGAGTTTACGTATCGATATTTCTTGATATTTTCTCCTTTTTTTTTTTTTGTCAAACTTGCCATTCATTTATGTATACATGTTTTATCTTATTAGGTGAATTTTGATTAAATTACCTTTACCTAATGAATCTCGTTTTATTCTAGCCATTTGAGAAGCCCATATACAAGTGTATCCTCCATGATAATTGAAGCACGACGACTTAGCGGGACACATGTTGATTTTGCATTCATCAAGATCGGTCTGGCAATTATGTCCGACAAAACCTGCTGCGCATGTGCAAAAGTAACCATATGGAGAATTCACACAAGTGCCGTTATTTTGACACGGAGATGAGGCACAATAGTCGATAGCAATTTCACAATGTCGACCTGTATACCCGAGTTGGCATGCACAAGAAAAATTTGACGGCATGTTATTACATGTGGCACCATTCATGCATGGATGATTGAAACAGTAATTATAGACGCTGCAATTATGACTAATCCATTCTTTTGAGCACAAACAATGGAATGAAGAGTTTGTATTTGTGCATATACCCTGGTTCTCGCAGGGCATTTCATAGCAGTAATTTCGAACATTACAAGTTTTCCCCATCCATTGTTGATGACACAAGCACTGGAATGTGTTCGGTCTGTTTGCGCAGACTCCGTCATTCAAGCAGGGTTTAGAATAACAATAGTCGTACACAGAACACGTGTCCCCCAGCCAGTCAGGTGGGCAAGTGCATAAGAAGCCATCTGCAAGATTTTGACAAGTACCATTGTGGGCGCAAGGGTTACTGGCACAATAGTCCTTCACCTGACAAAGATCACCCATCCAACCTTTCGTGCAATCGCAGCGAATGTCACTTCGGACTTCGACACAGGTACCATTGTTATGACAAGGTGAACTCAGACATGGATGATAGTCACAGATGTAAGCGTGTTCAGTATTTTTACACACCTGAAGGGAACCACATGGGTCAAAACGACAAAAATCTCGCTGTTCACAATGATCGCCAGTCCAGTCTCGTGAACATTGACATTTCGGACCAGACACCGGTGAATCTATACATGTACCATGATGATAACATGAAAATTGGGAACAGTCCTGACATTCATATCCTTCGCGCTTGTTCACGCATGCGGTACCATTAGGACAAACACTTGAGGAACATTCATCTAAATCCTGTTCGCAATGTACTCCCTCCCAGTAGGATGTACAATTACAGTTGAATCCCCCTATGGTATTGACACATGTACCTCCATTCTGGCATGGATATTGTGTTAAGCATTCGTTAACATCAACATCACAATGACGACCTGTGAACCTTGAATCACATTTGCAATAAAAGGTTGTGTCTAAGTCAATACATGTAGCACCGTTTTTGCACGGTTGGGCATGACATGCATCAATATGTTTTTCACAATGTCTACCCATCCAAAATTTCCCACAAGTGCATGAGTAATTTCCCGGAGAGTTGTGACATGTTCCTTGGTTTTCACACGGATGGTACCTGCATTCATCAATGTCTTGATCACAAGTTGTTCCAGTCCAAAATTGATCGCATCGACAAAGGAAATTACCATCTTTGTTCTCACATGTACCGTTATTTTTACAGGGCTTGGAGGCACATTCATCAATATCTTTCTCGCAATGTTTGCCTTCATAGCCAGGATCACAGAAGCAAGTAAAATCCCCTTTACTGTTTGAACAATGACCATGCCTTCCACATGTTGACTTGAGGAAACACTCATCAACGTCTTCCTCGCATCTTTCCCCTTTCCATGTGACAGGACAGATACACACTGCTGTGTAGTTGAAATATGAAGAAGTGGAAACTGTATAATTATGCTGTAATACCGTACAATTGCCGCCATTTACACACTTCAATGTCTTGCATGGGTCTGTATATTCACAGTCATATCCCACGTACCCATCATCACATTTGCAAATATATCCCTCACCAAATGCCTTACACGAACCTTGCCCACTGCAGGTCTCATTGACACAAGCATTTGTCTCACAATTTCCCCCTGTAAAGCGATCAGGACATTGACAGAAATATCCAGTTAGTCCATTTACACAAGTCCCATCATTTTGACACGGATCTCCGGTGCAGTAATCTATTTCGAGGCATGTTGGACCTGTCCAGCCAGAAGAGCATGCGCAGTGATATCCTTTGTTATCAACTGAACAACTTCCGTTATTATGACAGGGAATACTCAAACAGTCATCAATCAATTCACATCTTTTTCCTGTCCATCCTGTTGGACAAAGACAGTCGAAGGTATGTATCTTATTTGAACACATACCTTTGCGGTAACAAGGATCACTTAAGCAAAAATCTGTGTTGTTGCAGTGTTTTCCAACCCATCCTACCTCACACGTACATTGAAAGTCCTTGGCTAGGTCGGTGCAGTTACCATGAATACATGGATCTACATAGCAATAGTCGATTTTGCTACAGTCTGCCAGATTCCACCCTCCATCACAATTGCAGGTATAACCAGAATCTGTATTTGAACATATTCCATGTCCATGACAGGGGTCAAAGTAACACCTGTCTAATTTGTCACATTTATCTCCTGTTAATCCACCCGCACAAACACACGAATACCCACTTTTGCCATTAACACATTTCTGAGCCGTCGGACAGGTGGCGTTAAAGCAAAAGTCGGTTTGCTCGCATTCTTTCCCTGAGAAACCATCTTCACATACACAATGAAAACCTGAATGACCATTAAAGCATTCGCCGTGATTACTGCAGTTTTTATTTTGACAAAAATCACGAACATCACATGTGACACCAGAATACCCCTCTGCGCAGTCACAGCGAAATCCGTTGTAGATGTTGGTACACTTTCCTGAATGGCTACAAGGATAACTCGAACAGTAGTCATGTAGTTCACAATCTTTACCCGAGAAACCACTCTGACAAACACAGAAAGAAGAGTTAGCAGTATTAACACAAGTACCACCATTTATACAACCTTGAATACTGCAATAGTCTCGAAATCTACAGTCTGCTCCCATGAAACCAAAATTGCAGTCGCACTGCGCTTGTGTACCATTACCATTGGATATCATTTTACATGTTCCGTGACCATGACAAGCTGAATCTGAACACTGACTGGTCATCAGTCGGTCACATCTCTTGCCTGTTGTTCCACCTGGACATGAACAGGAAAAGGAGCCTAGGGTGTTTAAGCAGGATCCGCCATTACAAGGTTCAAAGAAGCATTCATCGTCATCTAACCTGCACTGGGTACCCGTCAGTCCATCAGGACATTCGCAGTAATATCCACCGATTGTGTTTACACAACGTCCGTAGTGACAAAAGCTTGGATCATTACATTCCACTATATCCTGGTCACAGTTTGTTCCGTTCCATCCTGTAAGGAAAAGAGAAAAAAAGTTTTACATGTGCAGTGCTAAACAACCACACATCTATTGTTCTGCTAGTCCTTCTCCTAAAAGGCTTTCATTAAGAATTTTTGAGTTACATTTGGCACATGTACGTGTATGATTCTATACACACTGCAAATATCAGTGTCAAGCGATACAACATAGACGGCAAATACAAAAAGATATTTGAGTGAGCGTAACGTTGCAAAACTCCATTTAACGATTGAAGTGAATTCGAAACCAAAGAAATGACCACATTATATCTGCATATTTCTCCAAAGAACAGCTATTGATAAAAAATTAAAACACGTACCCGTTTTACAGTAAGTTTTGCCATCATGTATACATTTGTTGGGATTCCCTGGACATGAAATATCACAGTTTGGTCCATAAAACCCAGAGGAACAGTACAGCTTATATGATACGTGTAGCCTGCATATAAAGCATAATTATGTAATTTTGATCAAGTTGACGTACTTTAGGTCGGTATAAACCAAAATTATTTCCCTTTTTGAGAAAAGGGGACTTTAGGATTATTCAACTCACGCAAATGGGATGCTCTACAGTGATAACAACTTTTTATATATATAAAAAAAAGAGATAGGGGCGGGAAAAAGTTTGCCATACAGAGAAATTTTTTATTAAGATGAAGATTTTTTTATCATTTTAGATTCATTTCTTTTATCAGAGGGCCGTTTCTCCTGAATGCGTCACTTCCCTTAGAATTTTCAATGCGCTGTCGAATGTATGCTTTCATATTAATAAACATTATTAATGATCAGCATTTCATAACAAAGTTTTGAAATTTTCAAAAATTAATTTATAGGATAGTATTTTTCGAATAATTGGACATATACCACGAAATATTAAACTGGTATTATACACTAAATGTAAAAGGAGTAACTCAACCAGTCACCTTGTCACGATTTATACAGTGTCGTTATACTGCTGTCCACGTGCAAAGAGTCGACGTATTGCCGGAGCGGCTCTCAGATCTGATTGTAATGAAATTGTGAAATAACTGTTTTTACATTAGAATTATTCTGAGTGAATAAGCAGCCATTACCTGAATGCATTGTTGGAGGAGATCCAACTTGCCTTTAACGTCTTTGCTCTCCAAACTTTACTGAGTTCATCAGTTCCAACAATCACCGAAAAATCAGAGAACTGGGCCTGGTAAATAAGGGGCGTGTCTTTCGGTCCCATGTCGTGGACTGTTATTTGGAACTTCGATTTATACTTTTCCTGAATAACGAAATGAAGAAAATTATTTTTGACAGAGTAACAGAAGTCAAGATATGGTTTCATGATCTGGTAGATTGTGAATGGTAGGGAATAAAATAATGAGTATAAAGTCTTTTTTTCTGGTTTTATAGGTCATTGGTTGCAACCGTTCATTCTCGTATTATCAAAGAAAGCATTTAAGTGTTTATATATGCTTTGATCACCAACATGGCATTTATTGAAACTAAGATTTGCGTCCAAATTTTGACGCTTTATGTTTTTTGTGGTTTCATATTGATACCACCAATATTTCTGATTGATTGATTATAAATGTTGTTAACGTCCCATTCGAAAATTTTTGCTTGTGTAGACATGCCACTTGCTTAAAGTGAAGTGCCACAAATCTTTAGTTATGCATAGAATTTACTTTTTTTAAGGTTTCATTTGAAATACTGTAACCTTCACAAGCTCTAATGCTAGCCGCTTGGCAAATGAAAATTCACTTCCTACGTTAAAATTCTTAGGTATAACGCAGGGCCAAAAACGAGCATCAAATGCAGACCTCCTGATCTTGGAGCTACATGTAGCACACTACCATTAGGCTACCTTGACCAATCCAAAATTGATGGCCAGAATATTTTTTATTATCTTTTTTGGCGATTTGGGAGGGTGGAAGGAAGAGGGGATGATACATCTCATTTTAAAAGCCACAACAAATTATTATCCAAAGAAGACAAATATAAGTACTCCTGTATACATGCATGTACATGTATAATGTTAATTCATTTCAAACTATGATACAAAGGCATATGTTGATTTGCTTTCAGTCATATCTGTCAAACACACAAAAAATATCAATCGATTTTTTAAATAAACATAGAGTTTTCGATGTTATTTGTTACTCACCCAATTATCTATTTCAAAATAAAGAGGATTAGACATATTTCCCAGGTGTGAGCCAAATTTTTGGTCGTTGGTTTTCAGGTTGACTGTTGTTATGGCTGAGGCATCACAGTTGTTAGGATCGTCTCTGTCAACATGGACTGAATTTTTAATCAACATTTGTACAAAAGCGTCGAGCAGTTTTTATGAATGCTTAAAACTAGTTGCATAATGAAAATAGTAGGATTATTAGCTTAACATTCATATTATTTTTCGTCATTTGGTTGCAATAAGTAATAATTCTTTTTGCAAGATATATAGACTATCAAATTTATCTATTTTGATATTGCAGGACGTTGGCAGGTATGGCAAATAAGGAAAGTTCACTTGACAGAAGGTCTTCAATTTAAAAAGACTCTGACCTCTACGCACCTGTAGATGCACACAGATATAACTGGTTTACACAGCTTGGAACAGGCCGCTGTAAGGCCCTGACAACACGCTCCTCCTCTAACTCGGTTTCCAGAGTTTCCTATTTCATCAATATGGAAGACAACCGTGATTTTTCCTGCTGCCTGGATATGAATTAATATCATAAATTGTAAAATGAAGGAATAAAACATAAAAAAGTTGATGAAAAAAGCATCCTCTATCCAGATTTGTTCCTTGCACTCTTTGATAGACTGTTGACGTATTAAATGATTTTACAATAATTCTTGTAATTAAAACAGAAATACATTTGAAATAAATAAGTAAATAAATAAAAACGCATACACAAACATTAAGAATTTTATTGAAAATATGTACAATGTTTACGAAAAATTTAATGTGTGCTTCGTTTTGTAGTAAATCGGCTTAAATACAACTTGCAACGTTGGCAGAAGGTTTTTGTGTGAAAGAAACAACTTTACACAGTGCGAAATAAGCTACAGTACTTTAATTGAATGAATGCTTGAAATAATTCAGTATGGAAAATATCTAAAACCATTTGGAGAAATATTTAATTGAATTATTGCGCACATCAAATTCGTAACGATATTTTCAAGTAACTCGTAGTTATTTTAGATTATATAAATTTTGTTTGAATACTTTTTTTAAATTTTCATACTTATGAAATAAATATATCTATATATAATAAGCTGATGATGGAGAAATACTCTATTATTTTGTGTTAAAACTACTTTAGAAATTCTTTTATTAGTTAAATTGAATTTTACTGTTTCATGAAAATATTATGGGAATAAATGTAAACAAAGTCTCGGGATAGGAAAGTTTTTGTATGCTTATTTAAACAACTGCTCTGAACAAACACTTTCATTAGTTAGAACCCAAAATCATTTAGTGACTAGCACATGTATACCTACCTGTGACAGTACCATCAGAAAAATAAATATTCTGTTGGAAATTTCCATTGCATAGAGTGTCCCTAGTGAAGCATGGTTGCGAAGCTGGTTTTCACACGATAGAAATAAATATTCATTGATATAATATTGATAGAGTTTTTTGACCTAGATTATGATTATTACAAGGTTATCAAGCATTTATGTATACGCCTTTTAATCAGCAACGTTTAAGATTGATTTAAGTTACTTAAATAAACAACTGCATAACATATCAGACAGATTGGTTTATTTGTATTGATAAATTTCGCCTCGTGGTCAGCTACTTGGTAAACAACTGTGTGACACTGGTCTTGATATGGCTTTCTGTGCGAGGAGTGAGGAACGAGCATCTACCAAAAATATATTTTTATGACTTTTAAGCTCGGGAGAATGTATAATGCACACATTGTATGAAAAATAAATACATTTTAATCAAAATAATGTTAATATTTCATGAAGTATATCTTTAATATGTACTTTAATAAAGAATAAATTTTAAATATAATAGAGAAAGAACGGTGACACATGCATTGTTTCTTAAAGAATCAAAAGGTGATCTTTTCGTACTTGAATTTTTTTTTTCAAATATTGAATTAAATAACTGCTGTTAACAAATATTTTACAAATGTCAATATATTTTCAATATATAAATGCTCAATGATAGAATCAATAGTTTTGGTCAGAAAAAAATATCCTTGACGTCTAGAATATGAATTTTGGCTTTTTTGCACTACAAAAGTAAGTTTTTAAAATGCATTGAGAGATCTAGAGTATTGACTAGTAAGTTGCATGAATATTATTGCTATGTCTTCTATTTTGTATATCTAGGATAAAAACATAGAGTCACATCTTATAGAGAACATCGCTAGATTTTAGAGGGGAAACATTGGTATTAAAATAAAACATCAAATGGTTTATTTTTTAAAATTTGACAAATTATGTTAATGAAGTCAATACTGTTGTTTTGATTTATAAAAAAAAGTAATTGTACATTATGATTACGTAATGCTAGGAGATTTTTTAAAAAGTCACTTTATATTTCAAATTAACATTTTTTTCTGTATTTCTTGTTTTAACCCCCCCCCCCCCCACCCGCTCGAAAAAGTCCCCAAGAAAACTTTTTGAAAGGGCATTTGACTTTCTGTCATTTAAGGTAAGTCACTGGGGACATGAGTAATAAGTTTTGAGAAGTATTAAAATTATAGCTCATATAGCATGAATCAAAAACGCAAAGAAAATTGGGGGTCAGTGTGCAACTTACTAAGCAACGGTACAATTAACTTGACCTTTTTGTACTTAATTTTTAACTTTAAGGTTAATCACTTTGACCTTTATCACATTTTACCAAATGTAATCATGGCAATAAATATTATCTTATTTTAAGTAAAATAGCTTGAATAATAACTATTATTGTAATAATCCTGCAAATTTATGAGCATAAAGTATTGTATGAACTTTTTGCACTAAAAAATATCAAATTTGGGGTATTAAAAATCTAGACACCCAATAAAATATTTTCTTGTATCAAGCTTTTTATGACTTAAGTGCTAATCGGTTGAATGTATCGTGTAATTTTAAATTATGAAAGAAAAAAGTTGGGCTCAGTGATGAAAATCTTAAAATATTGTTCAAAATATGCAATTTACAGGCGAAAAAAAAACAGTGTAAATTTTAACTTGACTTCTTAAATATATTTTCACTTTTTGGCAAAGTCCGTTGAGTAAATGAGTAAACTTTGTTTTAAAAATATTAATTGAAACATATATTAAATATCCCTTACCATAATAACGAAAAAACGTCTCAGAGTAAAAATATGTAGGACTAAAATTGCAAGATATTAAGAGCCATTCTCTGTAATGACTTGAACTTTTATATAGGAGCCGTGGCACGCATAGTCTCGGAATTTCTCCAAACTCTCTATGATAAAAGTCTTTGATACCGTAAATTCAAATCAGGCAAAAATTGGTTGCTACGTGTCATGGTTACCATAGCAACATGTTGTAAAGTTTGAAAAATGGCATTTTTCAACATGTTCAGAGTCCCACAGTTAACGTTTGCAGCAAAGCAAACAAGTGGCAATGACTGTTTCTGAAAGTTGAAGGTCTGATGTCTTAAATGCATGATAAACATGTTTGGTAAATGAACTATAACATACGTTACTATGGAAACAAAGTATTCAAAAGTAATAATTTTGTTCATTTAATTTTATAAAGTCATACACTTAAGAATAAAAACAATTATAGGTTGAAATGCAAGCAAATAATAGACAAGAGATCCTTGTAACATATACCAAGGACAAAATATGATATTTCTTATAGGTTGGCAATGGTTGCCATGGTTTTAATAGCATTAAGGGATTTTAAATTTACTCTCTTATTGTTTTAATCTTATCCTATCTTTTTAAAAAGCATATTTCTATATAACTGATGATCAATTTTTAAAGGCCTTGGTGTGACCCTAATTTTCACATTTCAAAAAATTCAATTTCAATTCCTTAAATAGTGCGTTGCTATGGAAATAAGGCGAAAAAACATGCATAAAAATCTGAAAAATACTCCGTTTCCTTGGATACGTACCCTTGTATGTAGATTCCCAAAACTTTTATGATTGATATATATGAACAACTAACCTGACTTTCAATTTTGACTACCACCCAATCTCTAACTGGATGCAAAAAGCTGGCACATAGGGTCTAATATTGACATAAAATTAACAAAATCGAACATTTTCTCTTCTTGGTAACCATAGCAACAGTGTTGTATTTTTCAACAACCTGTATCAATATATGATATTCAACTTTAGTTCTATGAGATAAGTACTATTCAAGGTGATTCAAATGAGATGTTTCTTGATTAAAAGGTTAGTAAATTCCTAAGGCAGCAAAAAAATCACTTTAAACAACTAGTACGTTGTTTCCATGGTTACACTGCAAAGTAACAATTAATCTCAATTTTTCTTATGTTGTCGGTGTTACAAGGTCCTAAGGATGTATATGTGCCAGTCATGAATTTTATTGTTTTTCCTCAAGATAGTAGCATTAATCCAATCATAGCAACAGATTTTGCATGGGGACACTGTGTTACCATGGCAACCATGAAAGTTATTTTTAGAATAAAACTGGCAATACCTAATTACATAAGGTAAATATTTTTCATTGCTTTTCTTAGGTTTTTGATTGAGTTTGATCATGTAACATCTATCATTTGTGAATATTGAGCGTTTTTCAGCATTTTTCAGCATCTAAAATGTATTCCAAATGTGCCCATGGTTACCACTTACTTAGAGATAAATTCTAAATAGTTTCTTTATAGCATAAGTGGCAACAAGGTGTCATGTTTTTGGGGGAATAGTGTGTTTGTTTTTCTTAGTCTTTATTAAGGCTTAATAAAGATTTAAAGTAGCTGAAAATCTCAATTTTTTCAACTTTTCTGGCTGTTACCATGGCAACCAAAACACATAGCAACGAAATTTTATTTAATATATCTTTCTGGTGTCAAGTTGTAATAATGGGCAAAGTTTCATCAAAATCGGTGACCATGCGTGGCAAAGAAGTTTAAGTGGTTACAGAGAATCGCTATTAAAATAAACAAATATGTCAATTTAAAGAATTCCTTTCTAAATATCCTTCTGCCACAAGAAATAGTCCGCCATAAATATTATTTCTTATCAATTTAGTGAGTAGTTTTTAAGTTGAATATTGTATAATTTGTATTGTTAATTCAAATATGTCATAAAATTGAATTTTATTAAATAATTTTGAAGTTAGAGGTTCTGACCAAACTTTTTTTTTTCAAAAGCTGAAGAATGAATACCTTAATTACGATCGTACATTATTCTTGATTACATATATATAATATTTAATGGGTATGATATATGTATGTATGTTGTTTTACGTCCAGTTCGAGAATTTTTTAGTCATATAGAGACGTCACCATTTACCGGTGAAAGCCTTCAAATTTAGACCTTTACTCGGCACTTAGGGCCATTGAGCAGTGAGCGTTCCTTATCGTGCCAACGCCTACCGTGACACGGGGCCTCGGTTTTTAAGGTCACATCCGAAGGACCCGCAACTTTCACTTCAAAGTGTCGAGCGCTTGGCGAAGGAACAGTTGCTACCTATTTTTTATCGACTTAGGTCAGTTGCGGTCGTGATTCGAACACACGATCTTCTGATCATGAAGGAAGCGCTCTACCGACTGAGCAAACGTGACGGCTTTAATTAATATTTAACACACATTTTAAAGATATTAATCTTCTCACTTTGGAGTCCATGTGCTTAGGAGCCTACTTCCTTTATGTTCAATTTCTTTTTAAGATCAAAATAAGTTATTTTTGCCAAATACATTTTGCAGAAAAAATTATGTAAAAATTAAATGAAATATTCATTTTGTGACAACATGTACACATGTGTCTGACAACGAGAATAACAAACTAAATAGGCATATGTCGGTGTTTTTCTGATCAGATCTAGACATAACTAAATAGCTCTAACCAAGCGGAGGTAAATGTATGACATAATTATGTAATCAATGGTAAAATTTTCAAATTTCTAAACAGCAGACCCTACTGACTCATTTAATGGTCAGTAATTATATAATTCATCTACACATAGGAACTCTGTGGTATTTAATTACATAGAATGTAAGTTGAGAAGCTTCGACACACCACGCTAAAATACATAATTATAATACTGAATGAATGGTTTTTGTTCATTGTTATGAACAGCTACAATTTTCATCGTTAACAATTTAAGTTTATGACATAACGACAAATGGCTAATAGGGACATGACCGGAAGTTGAACGTTGGAGAGTTTTTAAAAATCTTTTAATGGTACCAAAATGTAGAAATTTATATAAAAAAAACCATTTAATCACTTAAGTCTTTTTTTTTTTTTTTCATTATCATTTTAAAATTTTCTACATGTACACATTTGTTTACTATTCATACCTATCCCGGTAACTAAAAAAATAATGGGTAGCCTAGGGTGGGGCGGGTAGGAATTGGAGGGGGCTAAGAGACAATCATATTAGCTACATAATTACTATTCCCATAGTCCCGCCAGACTGCTTTACCTCTCCAGGTAGTTTTAATGTTGAAATCTGCTCACAACACACCTCGTAGCTTAGCAAAAGGCTTTCCTAACATAGTGAACAAAAAGACTTTCCAAACATTTTTTGCTAGTCTCTAGCTATTGCTATGTTCGGTGTTTTTTTTTTTTTTGTTTGTTTTTTTTTTTTGAGTTAGAATGCCATTGACCATTTGATAAATTGCAATATAAGCAACGAAAAATTATACAAGTACCGTTAGTCAAAGTTTCAGATTCCCTAAAATTAAATTCAAGCATTTTCATCACACAAAATACACCAACAAATATAACTACATGTACATTGTAGAAACATTAATGCAAACTTCAAGTTTAGGCCGCATATTGCAGCTTGTTTGTTGTATTTTGCACAAAAATGTAAGGATATAGTCATCAGGATATTAACTTTCTGTATCATATAACGTGCCGTTAACTATTCAATCTTATCAAATCTTGGTTCCTTAAAATAATTTTAGTCAAGTTATAAAACTCACGTCCAAAACTTCTAATGATCATTGCAATGACTTTCTATTGGGTCCGTGTGATATAACCACTATTGAAATAACGACCACAATTGAAATAACGACCATTATTGAAATAATTCTTTTTATAGTGGTTGAGAACTCATTTCAAACCCAACACCATTAACCACTATTGATATAATACCCACTCTTGAAATAAATGAAAGTACATTATGTTATCAACAAGGATAAGGGTAAGAAATGTGATCCAATGTGTCAATTATCTACGTGGTACACATTAATCTATATTGAAGAATAAAATTTCATGCTCCCCGATTTTCATTATCTTCATGAGATTCTTATATCAAGTTATTCATGTAGAAAAAGAAAGAGAACATTATATTTTTCAGTATTAGGTGTTATATTAAAAGTGGTTGCAATGTTGCAACCACTATGGATATAAAGCCCACAATTGAAATAATTCAATAGAAGGCGTGATTTCAATAGTGGTTGAAACATCGTGTTGTTTTTGAAATCCATTTCTCAACCACTATTGAAATAATTTCAGCATATGGCGTTATTTCAATAATGGTTGCAAACGTGAGTTGGTTTTGAAATGCATTTTCATAATGTATTGAAATATTTATTTTATTAGTGGGCGTTATTTCCATAGTGGTTGCAATATTTGTGCAATTTGTGCTAGGTTTTGCCGGAAGTATCAATATAAACATTATTATCGATTGCTTTCTGATGGCCCATGCTTAGCTGACTTGATCAAACACAGGCTTATAGACTGAATGATCCACCACCAATTCTTTGATCAAACTATAAAATGATAATGAATATAAAAATATTGTACATACTGGTATTTTTTAAAAGTGTCTATAATTAAAACTAAGATAAACTTTTTATTACATTACACATTTCAATTTTTAGAAAACAAAAACTGCTAAAATTTAAATGGACAGGTTTAAATTTGTATATATGAAAACTAGTTTCCGTCAAGACAAATTCAAGAAGAGTCCTCATTCTTCATTTCCAGCTTAATATTGTCCATTTTTCAAGAAATATGGTAAGGATATGTATCGTGGTTTGGAATTCTTGGATTGTGGCCATAATATTGCCTGATCATTTGTTGGTTGCGCAATTGATACATGTACATGCGCATAATGTAATTTTGGTTTTGCTCATGATAAGGTCCGTATAAAATATCCTTGGAAAATTCTCCATATTGATCCCTGTCGCCTGATTTCCTTCTAGATGCATTACTTCTTTTGTAAAAACATACTCCACATAAAACAATTATAAAGACAAGTAATGCTGCTACACAAGCAGATGCAATGATGCCTTCATAAGACATTGCTGGTGGTTGTGTTTGGACACGTTTCCATGAGTTATCGGTAACCACAGATAGAGACAGAATATTTGAGACATCTCCTTTGTTCCCGGACTCATCAACAGCACGGACTGCCAAATAGTAATTTACACCAACTTCCGGTATAGTTAGAGAAAAGAATTCGGTATTCCCAGGTTTTGACGGCGTTGGAACTTGTTCGGTCAAAGCACTGACTCTTTCTGGAGAGTTCAGCAAATCAGAGTAGGCTTTTGATAACAAAATCTGGTAAGAAGTAGCTATAAAAAAGAAACTTAAAGTTTGTATATTTAGAGAACTAAGGATTTTTTTCGATTATTGCGACTATTTTTATTTTGATAGAAGCAAGACAAAATGAAAATTAAAAATCCATATAATTCTTATATGCCAAAAACTTGTCAGACTCTTTGAGACTAATTAGGGAAAATTTAGAGGAAGTGTGATATTGTTTCCCTATATAATTCATGAGTAATATGTAATTCTTAAAACACTGATATTTAGATGTCCTAAAGTTGCCTGATAAATTCCAAAAAGTCCGCAATCGAAAAATTACATGCAACCCTATAATGTATTATAACCTGCTTTGCATCATACATTTTAAATATCAGACATGTCAGACAGTCGGAACACAAAAGATACATGAAAGCATTTTTTTAATGAGATAATCACAAAAAATATAGCCACTAAATTTCATTCCATCAATACGTTTCTATATATTTCTGATAAAATGAAATTACACAGTTTCATGGATACCTGATCCATACGTGACGTCATCCCCCACAGCGTCCCAGCTTACATTGTAAAGGTTTCCGTTTGAGGACACTAACTTTAGCGTTGTTATTCTGGCCGGTGAAATTTTGTCATCTCCTATATCCAATGTTGAATAATTCTGCACAGTGATGGAACCACCGGAAGTAACTCGTTTGAATCCAGCAACTGTTCTAGCCACCAGATCTGTTGGGGCTAAAATTGTTTCCATCAAGATAATTTTAAAAGTCGTGTAAATCATGTTAACATTAACAAACATATTCAATTTAAAAGGAGGTCATAACAAGGTAATTAGTAGATAAGAATACTTCTAAATAAATATATTTATCATAAATTATAGACACGATTTAAAAAAAGTGTTTATGATATTGGAAGCTGTATAAATAGTTTTATCTATATTAAGAATAATGGGTGTTAACACTACATTATAAATATATCATCCTTACGGACATTGTCCTGAGCAGCTCGTTTCCGTCGTTTCACTTTTGGAACAAGAATTTTTGCTTCGCCACTTTTTCCCGTCACAGAGACTTTAAGACTATGTCTGCCATCAGACTTTATTTGAGAAGGTAATATCACACCCGTATACAGACCATCACCTTGAATTATATCTTCACCTATAAAACATTACCAAGCTATGCTAGCAATCGATATCGATTTTTTAATTAACAAATAAAAATCAATGTTTCATATTAAAATGTACTTCAGCATGGCACATCCTTTATTTTTAGATATGTCTCTATGTTAGCACAAAATTTATGTTATTTGAATACCTCCATGTAACATTCACCAAAGATAGACAGTCTGGAACATGTTGTATACAAATATCAATTGTTTGCCTACCAAACCCATTATCAGAAAGATTAATTGTTGTCATGTGATCTTCCGAATCCTCAAGTAACATTTCCACGCTAGCTTCTAAAACTGGTGATGATCCTTTTTTTACAAGTGCAAAAAGAATAACAGGAGTATAAGGCGAGAAATCAAATGAATCTGTCGATGACCATGCAGTCGTAGTTATGACTTCCTCTGCTGGATTTCTGGGATATGAATTCGCCGTCAATGTAAGAACTAGTCCAATGTCAAAAGACGACGTAACATTTACCACATAATCGCCAACCTTGAAAATATGTTTTAAGTTTCTATACAAAGGTAATTGTATTCTAAAACTCAGATATGAATTTAAGGCCTTAAAATAAGTAGCTAAACGTACCTCGGCTAGTGCATCAATTTTTATGCGACAGGAATCATTGCATACACCGGATGTCCACATTCTATTACCAGGTCCTGACAAAAATAATGAAGTATAGTTCACTCCTGGACCCTGAAGCAATATCGTCGTGTCGCGTCCTATTGTGTCGTCAATAGAAATAATACTGGTGTAATTCCGATCTTTTGTGACATTCAGACTTTTACTCTCTATCTGGGGAGAAAATGAAATAATTGATTAAAACTTACACTGAGCTTCCTATATATGAATACTTTTAAAACTAATGAAATGGGAAAAAGAAATAACAGTAAGATAATTGATTGAAATATTATCACCTGGTGACATCAGAGGTTGGATTAGGTTGCATAGAGGTATAAGCCAATAACGTTATGAACATTTATTTCAGTCCCTTTAACACATGTGTAGGACATGGTATAGGTAGTTTTATAATTATTTAACATTTATCAGAGTTTTTATTGATCCCACACGGAATATTTTGTAAGTATCTACAGATAAACCAACAAATGACACCAGCAAACTTTGATCTGCATTGAAATATTTTAAGGTACATCATTTTCTAAACACATTCTGTTTTTGGTCCAATTGAATAAGAGGTTTTCCCTTCGTATCTTTTGTTAATCGTACTTTGAATTCACTGTTAATTTTATTTGTTTGTCCTTTGTGAACCGAAAAAAACCCCAACCAAAATAGAAGTGTAAAGGAAAACAAATTATGACTACAATTTCTTACTGATAATCGAGGTATGAAATTTTTATACTGACCTGATAAAGTTTATTCTCGTCATCAGAAGCGCATTCAGCAATATTTACAAAACTATCAATAAGAGCCGTCGATTGATCATATCCGGAATAAAAATGGCTTGAACCTCCACTATCCTTAGCCAGGGTTTCCATATTTTTGTCTGCGTTTCTACCAATTGCAATTGTTGTAACAATTACGTTTTCAGCTAGGATTTCATTTGCAACTTCTTTTATTCCTGGAGAATGTGTATTTTCACCATCAGTTACCAAAATGATTTCGCTGCCATTGATGTTTGTTCCCTGTGTCTTTAATACCTTGACATATCCAGGTAAATAGCAAAATAGAGTTAGCAACAAAATAAAAAGGATCTATATTATATTGAACATAAAAACGAACTGTATACATTTTGTCTGATTAAAAGGGTTTATTTTCTAAATATATCATTTTTTTTATAGAACTAGAAATTGCATTGTTCAAATAAGGATATCGTCCGACTATTGAAAATATGGAGATTTTTATTTTTTTAAGAGGCATATACAACAACCAGATGCTGATTATAGACCAGAGTTGAATTTTTTAGCTCTATAATCTGTTATCTAATTATAATGTGCAATAACATATGTCTGAAAATTCATTGTATGCATAGAAAAGAGCATACCTATGAATGATCATTTATTGACAATAAATTGCAAAGAAGCAAGGCGAATTTCAAGACGCAGATAATGCGCACTGTCTAATAGTCATATGGAAACATCGAACAATTTTCTTGACACATAAATCCGATCAGAAATGAACATTTTGAGAAATTACTTAATAATTTTTTTGTCCTAAAAAGTTATCGACGATGCAGTCTAGAAACTAATTCAATAACTTTATTTTAAATATGAGAATATAGCAAATGTGATTGGTTGAGTTATACATGATGATACTTTATTATACATGTAACTTAAGTAATTATGATATCGTTGATATCTAATGACTTATTATTTCCATACCTCTATTCCTTTTCGAAGTCCTGCTCCAATAGATGTACCACCAGCAGCATCAATATTCTTGATTAATGCCACTAACTCTTGCCTTACGCTGTCCGTCGTTATAGAGGTTAATGGAGCTACAGTCTGTGCTGTTATGTTGAATGTCACAAGTCCAAGAGAACTGCCAGCTTGTAACCAAACCAGTATGAAAATGGATGTTATTTCTTTCAATTTTGTCATTCTTTGCTTTGAAAAAAAAAGAAAGTTTGACACCTATTTTTGGTCGTTTTGATTTCAAAATATACTCGTCAGCAAAAATAATTAGCACAATAATTCCCTGGTACCTCGTCTTGTTCGACGATTTTTTTAAACACGTCATGGTTTAAAGTCAGAATTATGAGATGAAGAAGACTACATGTATGATTTCTTATAAGAAATGAAAAGAAGTTTAAATTTATAAACATAGGCACTATGATCAATGAACATGTTCCTCTCTCAAATGCTTGGTACTGCAATTTTTACCTTTCTCAGAACACTTGTTTCATTAGTGGGGCCATCCTAAAAATGAATTGAAAGTTTCTTTTGCAGCAATTTCTGATATTCATTATAACATAAAAATTAAGAAAAACAATTTTGTAAAAAGAATGTCAAAGTTAACATGAAATATTTCTTATTTATGACTACAATTGAATCTTAATCTGAAAATAGTTTTATTAAAGACCTTACTTATATACATGAAAAATTAATACAATAATAATTCTAATACTTCCTAATTCTGTAATTTACATAAAATCTCATGCTTACAGACTCTGTTACTTACATAGAATCTCATGCTTATGGACTATGTTACTTACATAAAATCTCATACTTCCAGACTTGTCCAAGACCATCACGAAATTTTGACCAGTTTTCTGTTGTACAACTCTAAATATCGGTGTGGTGTCTTGTGTCGGTGAACCTGGTGTTGTATCTACATTTATATATAATTAAAAATTACGTTAGCATTGCATGATAATTGGTTTTCATATATCAGTGATATAACATTATTTTTTCTTTTCTGCCTTTCAGTTTAGAAAGTCACGAGTATATAACATTTTAAGTATTCAAGCTCATAGTCCATTTAAACAATACAAATCGAGAGCAGAGCAAACATGGACCTCCAAAAACATCAGAGGCGGGATCACAAACCATGCAGGAGTAAGCAATGAGAAGAATCAATCCTTAAAAGAAATATATACAAAACAAGCTTCTATATACCCCAATGTCCATTTCAGTTTATTACAAATATCTCACACATGGGAAGTAATACTTTTACTTCCATGACTCTTCTTAAGATTATACTTCAAATTTAAAGAGATTTTGTCTCTGGTGCATGAAATAAGACAAGCGAAAAGGCAAAACAGACACAAAGGCGAAAAATACCTTTAAAATCAGAATGAAGTCTCATTATTTCCCAAGAACTTCTCCCTTGGCAGAATCTGTTCTGTGGAGTCTGAGCCTCTTTGTTGTGTGGAACAGTGCTACCATCGTCACCACAAAACTCGTCCACCTATATTGCAGGTGAAATGCAAGAGTTAAAAGTCTCCAAAAATATTATGGTTTCAAATTTTAATATATATATATATATATATATATATATATATATATATATATATATATATATATATATATATATATATATATATATATATATATATATATATATATATATATTGCAATCACACAAAGTATTTGAAGTTGGGTGTCAGAATATTTGCTAAATACTGCATACTTTTTACTGTACAGCCTGATGCCAAATACCCTGCTCAGACAAGGTATGGAATAGATAAAAGTATACCCTACAGTTGTATTTAACATTATGAATTAACATATTTCTACATTTTGCAATAAACAAGAGTGAAAGTTCAAAAAAGGAAAATGTGAAATTAAATTCATTCAATAAAATTTACAAATTACATCTGCTTTTTCCTTTAATTCTCAAAGAATTTTTGGGAATATTGAAAACGCATATTAATAGATTCCGTATGGTCTGTGGAATAAAGATTATATTTTTAAAGATAACTATTTACATCTAAAAATGATATTTCAAATGTTCACTAATTTACCGTAAGCCAATAATTGCAGAATGAAGATGTCTTCAAGAAGGGTAATCAGGATCCACAGGAAATATGATTATTGAATGACAGTGTGTGTGTATCATGCGTTCTATTATCAAGGCAGTGCCCCGGTTCTGAGAATTTCACATAAAGTAAGTTGTTGAATGTGTAAGTATTCAAGGATTTTTTTTTTCGATTGGCGGAGAAATACGAGTTTTATATTAAATACGTAGTTTTATATTAAAAACAAATCATGTATGCAGTAAAATTATCCAAACAATTCAGGAAGTTTTCCAAATATTTCTTTTAAAAAATCAAAACAGGAAAACGTTTTTTTACCACAAATGAAACTGTTTTTACAGAGTGATCTACTTACACTTGAGATTCCTGGCTTCCCCATAATTGACCCCTTCACGGTATTTCCTGTTTCGTCTGCACAAAATTTACAGTCCTTTTCAGGTAAACCATTCTCGTCTAAAGAGCAATGCAATTTACTCTCACAATAAGACAGTTCTCTTTTCCCTATGATATCCCTAGCACAGCTGGAAAAATTAGCAAAGTCGAAATGAAATGTCTGTAATCAAACAGAGAACTGAAAACTGACTTTCTGAATATGATTCTCTTTCGTAAAACACCTACATGTTTGGTTTGAATGTTCCCTCAGATGAATAAAACCATGTATTTGTGTTTAAGTCCTGTATTGGTGACTCCTTATCACCATGTTCGTCGAATATACCCCATCTGAAATGGCCCCAAAGGTGCACCAATATTTTATCTACAGGAAGAAAAGTATGTCTCATAAATAAGTCTTATGCACACAATAACAGATGGAATTTTTAATTTTTTCCATAACTGATATACCTCCATTTTTCTGAGCTGGAAGAACTTGTACCGTATACGGCTCTAAATGTATGTGTTTTCCTGGTTTTCCGCATCCCGTCATGCCAGAGACATAGGGTCTGTTATCCACAAGTGGGTTTGGATTATCAACAATTACATGTGCAGAATCGAGTTGTGGCCCTCTTACAAAATTGTTGGTAATATCGTTTGGCCATGATTTTGGTATTACTATTGTAATATCCTTAAAGTAGAGGTGGTATTTTGTTGACCTGTACAACTGGGCGGAAGCCGCCGTAAATAAGTCCTATAAGAAACGAAATATAGAAGGGGATACGATGAATCTAAATTATTGAGCATCTATGAACTTAATGGCAATCGTTGACAGTGCGACCATTGGGGAGAGCGCAGTTGCGTATAATTCATTACAGCATGCCAATTCACTAATAGATACTCCCCTTAAAACCAAACAAAGAACAGTACACAAGTTTTGTTAAAACAGATTATTTGCCTTGCATTGTGGGTCTTGAGGCTACTAAGGACGACAAAATCATAAGGAGCAATATATATAGTTCGAATTTTCTCTTTGCTTCGCGCGACTCGCTGTGCTGGCTTTTCAGCAAAGGAAGAAATCTGTTTTTTTTTTTGTTTTTTTTTTTAAATAAAATGCTTAAATAAATACTGTCTTATTAAAAAAAATCTACATCACAGAAGCAGACCATATGCGCATTTACAATATGTACATTTATTATACTAAGAACTGACCCTGCATAAAACAGTAGATACGATTAATTCGAAGTACGAGTAATTGCAAACACATGTAAAACAAAAGGATTAAATCATGCAAATGATTCTGTCTTTAAAATATAATAATTATCAGACCTTTTTTTACATTTCTCATTTAAATACACTTTGGTGAATGATGAAAATTGTATGCTTTAGATATACAATGACATTTTGTTTTGGAAATTAAATTTAGATAAACATGTATATTTCGTGCGTTTTGGTCACATTAGTTACCTGTTTTATAAGTTTTAGCTTTAATTTATTTGCAGTGTTCTTAATTTAACTCAATAGATATATTATCTTGCTCTTCATCGCAGCCATTCTGCTTAAAAAACTTGTACTTTTCAGATATTTTTTTTTAAATAAAAGGTAAATAGAACGGATGAAAAAACCCAAGTTATTCAAAGTAGCGTTCATTTCTCAATGTTACTCTTTGTTCTCTAAACCTTTCATCTTATGTTACAATCACTGCATTTTCTTCGGTAGGGAATTCGGGTGTTTCGTCTAAGGTATTTAGTTACTGTATTTATAAAGTTTTGCAGCATATCTTCAGATCATTACATTGTGATATCACGCACATCTATAGGTAAACAAAATATGAATTTGAATTTTCATAAAATTTTGTATTTCTTAATTCCGGGTTTAATTAACAGAGCAACTTTATAACCAAGTGTATGTTTAAAAAATCCAAATGGTAGATCATTATACATGCATTTTATTAGTAATTAAAGTAAAGAACATACAGTGACGTTTCTTCGAATTTCATTTCGACGTTATAAAACATGTCCATTCTACATAAAAAGGAACATCTCACCTTAATTCTTTGTATCTGTATTTGATTAGGCTGAAGTTTAGTGGACATTGCAACAGTAACTCCGGTATAACCGTTTCCATCTATCCGAATCCTATTGGATTGACAAACTGCTGTGACACTATAGATAAAACAAAAAGAAAGAGAGTAAAAGGCCAAAAACCTCATATTTTTGGCGCATAACCACTCCTTGTTATATAAGTCACGGAATCTATCAATTACCGCATGCGTTGAAAACCGGGTATTTTAGAGAAGGCCAATCATGTTGGAATGAATAGCAGCTAAATAGGGTCGTTTTACAATTGTGCAAACTGGTTGTCGGTGAAAAATCTACGCATAAAATGAAACAAGGTCAAAAGAAAAATTAAAATATTTGAATGACTTTTTTCCAAATAACTTTTAAACTTGTAATTTCGATGTCTAGGTCATAGAATATCAAAGTCTTTCAAACGACACAAGCCATTGAATATGATATCAATTTTGATACTACTTACATTCAGCTAAACTTAATCATCAAATGTTAATGTCCAATAAATCAAATAAAATTGTTATTTAATCATTTGAAACGTGAGGATTATTTCTTTTTTTATGTGGATACTGCACACGTTTGATACGTTCAAGTCACTCCTCAAGATACTCGATAAAGTCCTAAGAAATTGATATGAATAAAAACTTCAGAAAGGTCTTGTGTCTTTGACAAAATTTTCATACATCTCAAAAGCATTTGTCAACTAAAGCTGATTAGTAAATCTGCACACACTCAAAAAGAAATGATTTTCATACATAATTTGCTATGCTGATTGACATTTGGTGTTTAAAAAACATAAACTGATAATTTTAAATGAAAGAAAAATGCAATCTACCATGAAAAATAAATAAAAATAAACATTAAGAGGACAACAATGAATTTCACTTTTAGTACACTCGTGACGCTGTGAAATTTGAAACACGCATGAATGATGCATGTTACCATGAATTCACAGGTCTTTCATCTGATAACACTTTACAATGCATGAATAATTGGGATAGGTACAGTCACACTATATAACTCTTGTCAACGAATATTCCTTTCTTTCATTTTGTAATTCTTATGGATTTTCCCTTTCTAAAGTATTATTATTATTTATCAACATGTGTCAGGAATATTCATTCGCCATTTTGAATTTTTATAAATATGGATCTGGCTAAAAATTCAAATAGCGATACAAAATGTTACCGGTACATACATTGTACATGTATTTCAATTTATAGTTTTCAAGTATTATTATTTTCTTATTCAAAGTTCATGACTACAATTCTTGTCTTGTATTAAAGTAATTAACGACAGTGTCAATTCCCGTCAAAATTTTCCTACAAATAATAATTTTATCCTATCAGCTAGATAAATCTATTGATCTCTCAAATGTGGCAGGCAATATTTAGGGTATTTTGTTAAAGCGATTGACGCACAGAAAAAAGATATCAATTTGACAGCTTTTCTTTTAAATCAGCTCAGTCAGTAAATTTCCAAAATGTATAGAAATTAGAAATTTTCATTGTTTAAGAAATGATTTTTGAAATTCCAAATGAGCAAAGATATTCCAGTTCACAACACAAATTTAGAGAATATTTAGCAAGTGCTATAAATCTCCAATAATCTTGCATTCAAGACAAACAAACCATGATTAAGCAATGGAAAGGGTGAAAATTTCGAACAGCGAGGGAAGACAGTTGCTCATTAAGAAACTAGAACCGGTACCCGCTATTCAAAGCAATATTGGGCTTTCCTTTGTTTGAACCTTTTGAATTTTTGTACTTGTGATCCAAAAAGAATTATGATTTAGACAAAATATGCTAACATGCGTGGGTTGATCCAAAGACTATGTCACAACTGATATAAAATCTTTAATAATCAAACGTTATCAGCAAAATTTGACATACTAATGTCCCTATCTATTCTAATTTTTTGGCCTTAAAATTTCATTCGATTAAATAAAATACTTTTTAAAATATTAAGATAAACAAAACGTTGTGTTTGTC